TGGCTCGTTTAACAACCCTAGTAATAAGTCAAACCAATTATTTGATATTGTACGAAGAAATTAAATTGGTTGAACTCTGATTTAATACACATTTTTTTTATTCTTGGCAAAGCATGTATCGTGAATTCAAAAGAGACTCATTTTAGATAAATGAGTCCCTGATTAATACATGGTAGCTAATTTACCAAAAAAGAAAAAAAAAAATCAAAGATTCGTGTTTCCTTAGAAATCAATGTGAAATAATGATTCTTATATTTTGAGATATTTTGAGGTGTTTTAAAATATTTTGACATGTTTTGATCAATATTTGAGGAACAAATTTTTAAACTTATTCTCTATTTCACACTGTTTTAATTTTTTTTTAATTCTTTAGGTGATTGAAACAATTTAAAGAAATAAAAATTTGATCCTTGATTGTGGCTAGGTTTGTCAACGGATTGAGTTTGGATTTATCCGAATCCTACATCAAAAGTCTGATTTGAATTCGATTCGATAATTTGACAAACTTTATTTTCATGGTCCATATCTAAATTCGATAACGATCTAAAAAACCAATATGAATAACTTAATTTAGGAAAAATTACACCTAGTCCACTGTCACTTAATCACCTAAACCCCATGATATTTAAAATATTACACACACAATTCCTTGAAATTTGTATGGGCATAACACATGGACCCCCTATCGTTAAATGTCCGTTAGTAAATTATGTTTAAACCCCTAAAATTTGAAACGTATAATATTTAAACCCCTTAATTTTAAAATATTATATTTATACCAAAAATACTCCAATTAAAAATAAAATATCAAATATTTTAAATTTTATAACTAAAATTCATATTGTACTATGTCATTTATTGAAATAAAATCAGAAATAAAAATTCAAAATTTTCACTAAAAAAATCATAATTAATATTGTTGATGACAAAACTTGGACGACCTCTATGTTAGTTTGGACTTGAACTAAATAGACTTTTTACCTTGGGTTAATTTTTTTATCATCGAATACGAACATATAAAATAAGACTAATAAACACATTTATATGTTCTATTATATCATCTATTTACATAAAAATCAAACAAAATCCTAATTTTTTGAAAAAAAATAGTAATCAGTATAAATATATTAAAAAACTCAATTCAACACTTATTTGTATATAATTATACTGTCTATTGAAATAAAGCAAAAAAATCTAACAAAAGGTCAAACTGTATTGAATTCAATATTTTATATTTTTAATTGAGGTAATTTGGTTGTTTAATAAATTTTGTTTTAAATTTGAGAGGTCTAAATGTTATACGCTTATAAACTTTAGAGGGTTTAGATATTATTTACTATTGGATATACCGAAGAACATTAACGATAAGAGCTTAAGTGTTATGCACGTACAAACTTCAAGGGTCTATATATAATATTTCGAGGTCTAAGTGATCAAGTAACAAACTTTTGGAAGTTTAGATGTAATTTTTCTTTTAATATTTAACTAAATTTTAACAAATTACATATAAATTTTGCCTAAATTTCTCAAATAATCACTTACTTTTTTTAATAATTATATAAAAATATATAAATATATAAATATTTCAAATCAGCTCATAATTAGATCGGATATAAGTACATCTAAATCCGAATCTGTGATATATAAGATATCGGATTCGAATTTGGGTTGAAATAATGAATAAAAAAAAATATCAATCCACATCTAGGTAATCAGATTTAGACTTGGGTCACGTCGGGTCAGATTATGATCAAAATTCAACCCATTCACACCTAATTGTGATGGTTGTTGATCCTGTATGATGCCTTATCTCTGTTACAAATTTCCTTACTCTCTCAATGAAAAAAATGCATAGGAGGACTAAAAAATGCAATGGCAAAAACGCGGGTTTTTAGGTCTATGTTTGAATACTTGGAAATTGTAGAATTCAAAGGCCACTCAAATTGGTCTGCCATTACTGAGTTCTTCACCAATCAGATTCATATATATAAGCCATTTTCAAAGCTTTGAGTGCTCAATTTGGAGGAAGACCAGCAGTCTATGATACTGAAAATGGTAATGGCATTGACCCATTTTGTCATCTTTAGAAAACAAATGGGAGGATTGAATGCAATAATTTTTCCATACTAAGAAAAATTTTGATTTTCAGACATGATTAGCACACTTTTTTTTTTTTTTTTTTTATGCCTTTCAAGTCTTTTGATTTCCCATCGATTGAGCTCTTGATGGAATGAATGGAATAAGAGCTGTTTTCAAACCTGAACCAGGTCCAGGTCTTGTTTATCCTTCAGGGCTAGGAGCTGCTATTTCATTTTTGGATGACGGTGTGATAATGCCAGTCGAAAGGGAAAGGCGATGACATTCTTGTTGGAATCTATTAAATTATGTATGCATTATTTGATGTATTGCAATCGGGTTGGGTGGAATATATTTGGGATATTGAGAATGAGATTTGATTAGCCGAGTTATATTATAATTTCTTCAAATTATAATTGCAAGATCAACTATATGAGGAATATATATTTGTCTTTTTGTTACAAAATCATAGGAAAGTGTATGAAAGGTCTCCATTGCATCAAATTAAATAAAAAAAAAATGAACCATTTAGACGTCAAGTACTTGACTTTATCTCTTCTAGTTATTTTCGAGAATGTTTCTTATTTACTTTTAGATTAAAAATAATAATAATTTTTCTAGCTCTTTTTACACCATATCACGGATTTTCTCAAAATCAATTAAACTTTCATAATTAATTCCATGAAATATCTCTAATAAAAGAGTTCCCAGTAAAAAGAAAACAGATACATACTAAAAAATTCTTGTTGTGTTATAGATAAATAGATTAAGATCCTCTTCATCATTTTGTTTACACAATTTTATTCAATAGTAGATCACTCACTATGTACTCATGTAATATCCACTATTTATGCGTGGATTCCTCATTTTTATACTGTTGATGATCTCTTATTGATTAAAAGTGCAATAGAGAGGAGTGAATATATGTCTTGGTTAACCTAAATGATTAGTTCAAGCGGTAACAATAATAAATTGTAAATCTAAACGTTTTGAATTTAAATTTTAGCGATTCTTGGACCTAGACCATGAATACCTTAATCTACTCACATGAATGACTTGTGTAGACGGAAATTTTACTTTTACACAATTACCATTAAAAAAAAACTCTTTTTATTCATTTACCCTTAATAGATAATTAAATTTCATTAATTTAAAATTTAATTTTATTAAAATCAATTTTCAATTTAATCAATTTCATCAGTTAATTTATCAATTAACATTTACTTTCATTAATTTAAATATTAATTTTATCACTCTACCACTAATTTCATCAATTTAACACTAAATAAATATATAATTTTATCAAATTAATATTTTAAAATTGAATTTTTTTAAATTAATATTCAATTTATTTAATTTAGAATTTAGTTTCATCAAATTGAACTTCAATTTCATCACACTAACACTAATTTCATCAATTTAACACAAATTAATATTTAATTTCATTAAATTAACATTTTAAAATTTAATTTTTTCAAATTAAACTCAAATTAGCATTTAATTTATTTAATTTAGAATTTAGTTTCATCAAATTGAACTTCAATTGGATAAAATTGAATGACAATTGTGTGGATGTAATGTTAATTTTATGCAATTGTATGTTAATTTGACAAGATTTAATTTTAATTTTAGAAATTTAATGGTCCCTATTGTAATTAATTTGATTAAATTGAATATTAATTTAGTGTTAATTTAATTAAATTGGACATGAGACTTGTTTGACCCTAAGATTAGTATTATTCAATAAGAGAATAAAGAATGTTTGGGTATATATTTACATTTAAAGGGAAAATTTATCATTTAAGAGAGAAAATTCGCTGACATCATCACTTTTTGGCTTTGTCGGAAAACGTTATTTACGGTAGAGGTAGTAATTGAAATAAACATATGAATTATAGTGGTGACAATCATATTTTAGAAACCATAGGGGTGTCTGTGTCCCTATAATTAAGCTATTTTTTTTTAGGGGATGTTAGTGAAATTAAGTGTCATGGTTCATGTGAATATACACCATGGCATGACATAAAGATGGATGAATGATGTTGGTGGTGATGATGATGATGAGAGAGAAAAATTGGCGTGGGTGATGGGGCATACTATTCAAAATCGAGGGAGGCGCATGCAAAACACCCCCTCATTATTCTGTCCTGGCTCTCTATTTTCACCCCCAAGCAACCTCTTTCTCTTACGTTGTTTCAGATTTCCCCAATTCCAAACTACGCATGACATTATCTCCACTGTCCACGTGCCCCTATCGTTTCTGCAATTTTCTCACTTGCCTTCAATCCTTTTTGTTTTTTTTAGGCATAAGTTTTTTTGTAAGACATTATCCTTAGTTATTAAATACTACAATCATATCATTTTAATTGATTATTTTGGTAGAGATTTTTATTTTATAATATTTTTTAAACAATTAAAGTACTAATGATTCTGCTCATGAATCCCGACTTTGCATGACTCTCTAAAAATTATATTTATATTCTCGAGAAAAAGGTATCAGACGAGTGACTATGAAAAATTTTGTATTTGAATATCAAGCGATTAAATTTGATAAATTTTAGATTTTTAAAATTTTCATAAAAATGTGAAAACCAATCACATGAGAATGATCGCAAGGTCAATGACATGTTAAAAACAATTGGATACCTATGTATAGAAAATAAAAGTTAATTAAAAAAACTCAAAAAAGAATAAAAATTGAGAAAAGAGGGAAATATTATTATTGTTGGGGAAAAAAAGTAGGAGGGCATTAACAAGAAAAACGTGGGATTCTTGCAACACGCGATTGAAGAGCAAGTGAGATTCTTTGCTTTGCTTTGTGAGCACAGCGCGCTGAGCTGAGCTGCCATGCCAAAGATGTTAGCTTTTTTAAGTTCAAGCACAGTCCAATCCAACTGCTCTAAATTGAACTGAGAAAGCTGGCAAAGGGACCAGAGAGAGAGAGAGAGAGAGAGAGAGAGAGAGAGGAGCCAAAATGATGATGGAGTAACCAAAAATGGTGTCTGCTTGCTGTCTTCTCTTTTGGGGTTTCTGTTTCTCTGACCATATCATTTCGTGTATATATGCCAAGGAGAGAGAGAGATCCGACTGAAAAAATTTGAGTTTTTTTGTGTGGTTTATTTATTTTGTATATGATATACAAGACTGTGGTGGTCCTTAACTTCGTTGAGGTGAATATACAGAGGGAGAGTGAGAGATAGAGAGAGTAATTCGAAGACTCTGCCGGTGTTGGTGACCTGAATTGACAAATTTTCCTGATTTGCTGCTACGTACGGCGACGGACGGTTGATCTCGCGATCCGATAATGGAAGGAGATCTGCGTTTCGTGCTTCACGCTGCATGGTTGTGAGGGAACGAAGAAGACGACAAAGTTCCACTTGCTTCTTCAAAACAAGGTAATGCTGTTTCTCTCTCCCTCTCCCCCTCTATCTCTATTTTTGTACCTATAAGTATATAAATATAGGCCACACACACATATGTGTGTGTGTGTGTGTGTTTCGATTATTCAGTCTTTTGAAAGCTTGTAAGCTTCAGACACAAGTTTCACCAAATATCAACTCTTATCTCATCCATGCGTGATCTGAGTGAACACGGCGTTCGAAGAACCTATAAGAATCACCAAAGCTGGGAGATTAGATTTTTCCTTTTAAGCTTCTTTATCTTTTAGAAGGGTTTTAAAACTATGGAAATGAAGAAAATTGCTCAGTTTAGTTATTGAAAATTGCAGATTGGGGGTTCACTAATGTAGAATATTAGTGTTTAATTAGCATAAAAAAGGGAGAGGGTTTTTTTGTTCTTGGAATCTGAATTTATTGTTGTGATTTTGAATTTTTTGAAGTGATGATGGCGGTGACTTCGGCCTGCAAAGACAGTAAAATGGGGATGGACAATGGGAAATATGTGAGATACACGCCGGAGCAGGTCGAAGCCCTTGAAAGGCTCTACCATGAATGCCCAAAACCCAGTTCTCTTCGCCGTCAACAGCTGATTAGGGAATGCCCCATTCTCTCAAACATTGAGCCGAAGCAGATCAAAGTTTGGTTTCAGAACCGAAGGTATATATTTGTAGATATAGTTCAAGTTCATTTCGTGATGAATTTTGGCCTTATTGGTGTCTGTACAATGGTTTTTTAATTGTGATTGATGAATTTTTGCTTATACAGATGTAGAGAGAAGCAGAGGAAAGAGTCATCGCGCCTCCAAGCTGTGAATAGGAAGTTGACGGCGATGAATAAGCTGTTGATGGAGGAGAACGATAGGTTGCAGAAGCAAGTTTCACACTTGGTGTATGAGAACAGCTATTTTCGCCAACAAACTACTCAGAATGTAAGCAATAAAAATTTCACTCTTTCGAGCCCATCCACTTAAATTTGTGATCTGAAAAGTTTCTATTTCATTCCGTTTATTTGTTTATAGCCTTTGTTCGTAACAAATATCATAACCCCCATGCCTTCTCTCTTTCTCTCAATTTTCATTTTTAATAATATGTTTCCAACATTATATTTTCGATGATGTCTCTAGTTCCTAAAAGTGATCTCTAGCAAGGGAGCTTAAACTTGGTTTCATGTCACTATTTTAAATCAAAATTATAGTTTTCTTGGCAACAGATTCAGAGTGATCAAATTTTGAAACCAATTATAACTTCCGGTTTTTTTTTTTTTTTGAAACTAATTGCATGGTTTTATGACATTTAATAACCATAAGCCATTGTTGTGTTGTAGGTGACCCTTGCCACCACAGACACTAGCTGTGAATCGGTAGTGACTAGTGGTCAGCGCCATCTGACTCCTCAGCGCCCACCAAGGGATGCAAGTCCTGCAGGGTTAGTGGAGAACGCTTCTAGTTTTTGGGTCTGTTTAACTTTTTTTTTTATTTAATGGTTTTTTTTTTGTAATGCCTAATGAGATTGTACTTGGATGTTTTCTAGACTTATGTCCATTGCAGAGGAGACTTTAACAGAGTTTCTATCAAAGGCCACTGGAACTGCTGTGGAGTGGGTCCAAATGCCTGGGATGAAGGTCACTGCTCACATGTCAATTGTCGAATATGTTAATCTGCGCTCCATTCACCTTGATGGTGTTCTGAAATAAAACTAATAAACAAAATAAATAATCTTTCTAAGGAAACTGATATACTATTATTGTTTTTGTGTTAAAATTAATCAATTTCTCCTTTTTTTTTTTTGGTTTAGAAAATGACAAAATTTTATTGAATAATCGTTTGTTTTCTTTTATTATCTCAATCTTGTGAAAAAAGTGGACATTAGTTTTAGGCATGCTGCAATTTATCCTGATCAACTGTATCTTATAGTCCTCTGCTTTTTTAACAAAAGATCTATTGTTGATCTATGCAGCCTGGTCCGGATTCCATTGGAATCATCGCTATTTCTCATGGTTGCACTGGTGTAGCATCACGTGCATGCGGCCTTGCGGGTCTAGAACCTACAAGAGTAAGGACTTTCTAGGTCCACTCAAATGGGCGCAGTTTTCTTCTTAAATTTGTAGTTGACTAATTGGTGATTTTCCATCCATCCAGGTTGCTGAACTCCTCAAAGATCGGCCTTCATGGTTTCGTGATTGCCGGGCTGTGGATGTTCTTAATGCCTTGTCTACTGGGAATGGTGGAACCATTGAACTGCTTTACATGCAGGTTGGTGCTTTTTTTGTGATCATGTGTCTTTACGTGTATCGGGTTGACTTACCTAACAAAAAAATTATTGTGATTATGTGATTCAGCTGTATGCGCCAACTACCTTGGCGCCAGCTCGTGATTTCTGGTTATTGCGCTATACATCAGTTTTGGAGGATGGTAGCCTTGTGGTACGTATCTAATGAACTTATGTTTCTAGCAACAAAAAAAACAGAAAGTTTTTTTCTTCTTCTCTCGTCATTATACTTTTTATGATGCCCATGATTACATATCCCATATTAGGTGTGTGAAAGATCACTNAAAGTTTTTTTCTTCTTCTCTCGTCATTATACTTTTTATGATGCCCATGATTACATATCCCATATTAGGTATGTGAAAGATCACTGAACAACATTCAGAATGGTCCCAGTATGCCACCTGTGCAGC